CGGGCGGAGTGAGGAGGCCCCGGCCCGGAGGGAGGGCGTGTCCGTCGTCCGGGAGGGGCGGTCTCCAGGAGACGGGTGGGACGGCGGGTGGGGCGGTGGGGAGGATGCGGAGGCTAGTCTGGGACTCTCGGGGGACCGCCCCCTCCCTCTGCCTCCGGCCACTGGCGCAGCGACCCGGGCACCTGCTGCCGTGGCTCTGATCCTTCCCCGTCGTCCGGCAGGCTGCGGCCCCGACGGTTCGGAGCGACTTTCATGGGGACAGGGGGGTGGTGTTCAGGGACCGTGCCCTTGTCCCTGAGGCGAACCCGGACGCGTAGCCTGCGGGACCCGAGCCGAGGAGACCCTGCTTTGTCCTCCGGAGGCTCTCCTGCCGCTCAGCGGCATCTTCTTCTGGTAATGTCTAGAATGAGTCGCGAAGGATGCTCTTTATCCTGCGTTGCAAAGTAAAACTTGTGTTTTTAGAAACGTATCTTGAAAATTGGCGCATCTCCTTGCGCTTTTCTGAGGTGTATTAGGAAACTGGGCCGGTCACTGTCAGGATTGTCCTGTCGGTAAGTCAGGAGGAAAAGAAATGGGAGAGAAACTTATTCTCCCAAATATTTTCCTGCCAAGGGGCTTTTTCAGTTGCCTCCTATGTGATTGCTTTTCTTTTCTGGAGCAAAGTAAAAACTACAGAAATCAGGAAGGTCTGTCTGACTTCTGGCCCAGCAACCCTTTTAGCATTTTTCTGAATGAGAACTGGGATGAATGAGACTGGAATTTGGAAAGGGAAGATTTTGGTGGGGATTCATAATGAGAGCTTTAATTTTCAATAGTATTTTGTTATGATATGGTAATGTTTATTAAATGTTATTTTTTAACTGTACTTTTAAAATGGCTACTAAAACGTTCTTTTGAAAGCCCCTGCTGTTGTTTCACAGGCCCCTTTAAAGATCTTAGAAATGTTTATATATAGAAACATTTTGTAACATATTTACTTACAAAATTTCTAAAATATGCGAAACCATGATGAAGAAGATACACTGTTTCACCAATCCCAGTAACCATTATGAATATGGTTACTGGATATACATCTCCATTCTCTTTCTGTGCAGAGATGAATGTATGGATTTTTCTAAAGTGGCTTCTGTTTTGTAACCTTTTTTTTTCTGACTTCAGAGCATGCCATTACATGGCTCTAATAATTTATTTAGTTGGTTATTCCGTTTTTCACTAAATACGTTGTTGAAAAAGTGTAAAATCTGTACACCCATCATTACTTCTTAGTGTACATTCCTAGATGATCGAATTGTTGGGTTTGTTTTTTTTAAATGTAAATTGCTCAGTTTCCCTCTGGAAAGGATGTGCTATTTTGCACTCCCACCAACAATCTGTGAGTGTCTTTTTCTACACCCTAGCAAAAGGCAACATTTAAAGGATTTCTACAGGATCACTTTTGGACCAATTCTGTTCTTCTCTCCACCCAAGTACCATTATCATTCTCTAGCTATCACTTTTTTTTTAATTTGTTGATAGCAATTCAGTTTCTCATCTTTTATTACACTTTTACCAGTTTAGTAAAGACATGTTATCCATTTGAGGAGGCATCATAGAGTGAACAAGAGATCTGAACTCAGGACTTCCTTGAATTCTGGTATCTCCGATTCCTTGAACAAATCACGTAGCTTTTCTAAGGGACAATTTCCTCAACTCCAAAGTAGATATTATAGTACATTGGCTTTATCTTTTTTATAGGGTGGTTATTTAAGAGTCAGATGGGACATTTGTGGAAAGTACATTTAAGCAGACTTTGTCTTGTTGCCAGTTATTGCCGTATTGTAAAAATTTCAGAGCGTAAAAGCATCTTGATTTTTTAAAATAAATTTCTGAATTAAAAAAATCCATTCTGTGATACCCTTTGCCCCATGCTCTTTCACTTCTTAAATTTGAAGTTTTTAAAAATTCTGTCCTAGATTATATTCAGAATGCTATCAGGGTTATGAAATTAGGTGAATGAATGAATCTGCACAAATACTGGAGGAGCCAATATTGAAAGACACTACATGTGAAGCCGAGGAGGACAAATATAAAGCTAAATAAAGCACAATCCTTGAGATCATGATAAATAAAACAGTTTTTGTGCCCTACAGCTACAGAATGTTCAGGCAGCTAGAGGGCAGAAAAGCTGCTTTCCAAATTTAGATGGCAATTTTAGATGTGATGCAGGATGTCAACTATTCTCAAGTGTCCTAAAGTCCAATTCTGCTGACAGAGCATCTGCACAAATGACCACGCAGTCTCTTCAGGGTCATCTTTTCAGAGGTAGGAATTGTGAGTTGGGGAAGTGTTAGTATTTGAGTCTGAGAATCTGGATTCTGGTTTCAGGTCCTTCACCTGGGGCAGTGTGGTTAGCTTTTTTTGAGGCTTGTTTTTTTTTTTTTTTTCCCCCCCACCTATGAAATGGAAGCTAACTCCAGCTTCCTCAGAGTTTGTTGTGAGGATTAAATGAGATATTATTTGCAAGACACTTAGTGGACCAGGAAGTACTAGCACTCCCGTAGTCCTTCTTCACCACTGAAAACTTAGCATCTTGAGGAAAGAAACTAGGTCTCTTGCAGCTTTGGGTGCCTCCCCACTACTAGCCATTGGCATTTAGTAATGTTTGCTGTATTAACATGAAATATGACTGCTGAGAAAAATTTAGTGTGGACCATTGACGAAGGTAATATGTAAATGTGGGATAGTGAGAGAAATTGACTACATTATTTGGAGTTTTATTAAGGAATCAAAGGAAACACTGAACTGATTGTACCCAGGTTCATCTCTACTGTGACTGTCCTTCTATGTTATATCCCCAGTGCCAGACACATAGTCCCTCCCTACCAGCAAAAAACCTACTCCCTAGACCCCTGTCACCCAGCCACAGCCCACTTTCTTCCTCCTTTTCCATTCGGCCTGTTAGAAGAATTTGGGTTTTTTGGTTGTGTTTTGTTTTAAGATTTTATTTTTAAATAGTCTCTGCACCCAATATGGCACTTGGCAACCCTGAAATTAAGAGTTGCGTGGTGCGCCGACTGAGCCAGTCAGGTGCCCCTAGAAGGAGTCATTGATAATTAGCTTTCTTAAGTCTCCTTACCCTCCACTTAGTCCTGAAGCCACGTGTTCACATTTTTTGTTCTTTTTTTGGACCTCTGTGCAGCTTTTGTCATGAAAGTCCCCTTTCTTGAAATATTCTTTAGCTTATGAGATTCTATGTTCTAGGGTTCCCTCCTTCCTCAGAGGATGACGTGCTTTCTCTCTCTCCTTGGCTGGTTCGTCTTCTCTGAAAGGTTGATGTTCCTGTAGGCTTGATCCTTCTCATGATACACCACGTCTGGAATGATTTATAGAGCCGTGAGGCCGTCTGGTGTTTGAAGGTTTGGTAGAATTCTCCTGTGAAACCATATGGGCCTGATGGTTTTTCAGGGATATTTCCTAAATAACTTTATTTCTTCTATGAAAATTGGTCTGTTTAAGCTTTCCTTTTTTTTTTCTTTTTTTGTTAGCTGTAAAAACTAGGGTTTATTCATTTACTTATTTTTTGGTTTCGGGAATAGAATTTAGTGACTTATTACTTACATACAACACCCAGTGTTCATCCCAGCAAGTGCCCTCCTTACTCACCATCACTCATTTAGCCCATTTGCCATGAACTTTCTTCCATCAACCTTCAGTTTGTTCTCTATCCTTAAGAGTCTCTTATGGTTTCCTTGCCTCTCTCTCTCTCTCTCTTTCCTTTTTTTCTCCTTCCTATATATTCATCTGTTTTGTTTCCTAAGTTCCACATATGGATGAAATCATATGGTATTTGTCTTTCTGATTGGCTTAGCTGTTTAAGCTTTCTAACTCTAGGGGGTCAAATTTGGTAGTTTTTATTTTTCTAGCAACTTAATCTCTATCATCTGGCTTTTCAAATTTATTAAGTGGAGAGCTACACAGTAATCTCTCATGATTTAAAAAACTTTCTTCTATTTCACTGGTTGCTTTCTCCCTCATTCTTATTTTTCTATATTTGTGTTTTCCCCTTTTTCTTAATCACATTATATAGGGGTTTATCTATTTTAGTTTTTTAAAAAAACTACAGAATTTTATATTATTACTCGGATCAAGTTTTCTATTCTCTGTCTCATTCTCTTCCTCTGTTTTTATCTTTATTATTTCCTTCTTTGTGCTTTCTTTTGGTTTACCTTGTTATTTTTTTAGGTTTTTTAACCTTGGAAATGAATTTATTTCTATTACTTCGTTTTTATTGATAAATTTGTTTAGAGCAACAAATTTTCCTTTGATCACTGCTTTAAATGTATCCCATAGAATGTGATATGTAGTGTTCTCATTGTCATTATTTCTTTAAAAATCTATAATTTCACTTACAAGATACTCAGTTATTTAATAGGAGGTTTTTAAGTTTCTAGGTGAAAGAGCTTTTCTGTTATTTTTATTAGTAAATTTTAGTTTCATTACATTATGATCAGAGGATATTTGTAATACTTCTGTTTGATGGCAGTTGCTGATGTTTCTTTGTGACGTAATATATGAGTACTTTGGTGAATGTGGCATGGGCATGAGATAAGAATGTATATTCTCCAGTATCAGAGTTAGAGTTTGGTAAATATCCTTAAGATTTACTCTATTAGGGGCGCCTGGGTGGCTCAGTGGGGTAAAGCCTCTGCCTTTGGCTCGGGTCGTGATCCCAGGGTCCTGGGATTGAGCCCCGCATTGGGCTCTCTGCTTGGCAGGGAGCCTGCTTCCTCCTCTCTCTCTGCCTGCCTCTCTGCCTACTTGTGATCTCTGTCAAATAAATAAATAAATCTTAAAAAAAAAAGATTTACTCTATTAATTATGCTGTTTAGATCTTCTGTCTCCTTATTTTTGGACCACTGAATTGTCTCATATACCACGCAGAGTGCATAAAGTCTCCTGTTATTAGTGTGTTTCTCTGTCTCCTTGCATCTCAAGTAGTTTTTGTTACATAAAGGTGGTTGTTGTGTTATATTCATGTGAATATGTGTATTTTTATGTGTTCTAAGTCATGGCTTGTGGCTTTCTCTCTCTCTCTTTTTTCTTTTCTTTTTTTTTTTTTTTTTTTTTGGCACGATGAATGCTTTAGGACTTGAATTCTTTGCCTGATTCCAGAAATGCGACTCTGCTCTCTTTTTGTTACCAGTTGTTTTAGATGTGTCTTGTATAGCATCTTGAGTTTTGTTCTGTAAGCCAAATGGAAACTTTTTATTTTATTTGGCGAGTTAAACCCATTCCCATTTAGTGTTAGGACTGATATATTTGGCCTCAACTCTATCAGAATATTTTGTTATATTTACTCTCTCTTTGGCTATGAGGTGTGTTTTTTGCTCTTTTATTTAAAAAATTGGGGGGTG